GAAGATATTACCAGATACAATGATGATTAGAAAAAAAAACAATTTGTAGTTTAAATATAGAGAGATGATGTTAGGACAATTTTAGTATGCAATGTTTAGAGTTAAAATAATCATCATTACATTAGTTGCGGTGACAGATCAACAGAAATGAATGTAGCAATTGAATTACAGTCATCTCAGACTACAGATTCTACTTTCTTTCATTTCAAAACTATATATTTATAATATGATATTTGAGAAAAACCTATCTGTGTACCTGGAATAGTATCTCATATATCATGTCCTGAGATGTCTAATGAGAATTCAAGGAGTCTGAGTGTTTATATCAGTGTAACTACTTTCTTTTCTCGTGTATTCATCTTATGTATATATTTTGCAGTCCTGCTCACTGCTACAAAATGAAAAATTCAGCCGAAGACTTAAATGAAGTAAGTAATTTATATACACCATTTTTTGCATTGCACATATAATGCACACATGTTTCATAAAATCAGCTATAGTTCTCTGTAGCTGAAATTAGGATTTGAATTTTTGATTAATCAAACTCAAATTATTTATTAAAATATAGATTTTTTCGTAATAATGAGACTCCCAATATAGACGTTTTAAAGATATGTCTACACTTCCAGAGACGGGAACAAGTTGGAAATTAGAGGACTACTACCACCGAGAAGCCTACGGTCTATATACATATACTCTGACAATCGAATTCTTTAGTGCGACGAGTATGTAGATACAACCCTGTATGAGTCCTTTTTATTTTATTATGACTAGTCAAATACCTTTGGATTCCTACGAGATTTTAGTCGAAACTTGTAATAAGTAATCGAGGAGTATAATACAACAACTTAACCTCAAGGCCGATCGGTTTAAGACTGACTTTTTAAGTATCGGATCGACTAAGGTTATGTGTTTTTCAATCTTTCTAAATCTCGTTTCAGCCATTTACATTACATTTATCAATTTTTCACCGTTATTTTCATACCACTGAGAATATGGAAAAAAAAATTTGCTGTTGAATATGATTCCTTGTTATGATCTCCGGAAATGTGGACTTATCTCTAAGACTCTAGATCTATATTGGAAACCTCATTATTACGGAAAAATCGATTACAGTATATATATATATATATCAGTAGCGGATTTATGGAAAACTTTTGTTTTTTTGATGAATTTTTCAACGAACCACATACGCCGAAAAAGTTTTCTAGATCCACTATTGATACATATATAGTAGCATCGATTTTTCATGTTTCTACTCGCACTACCTCGTCGACTTTCCAAAAACCAATAACACAAGCTTTTTTTATTTTATTCCTCCATTTTCCTAAATAATTAGCACCTACAATAATCACTGGTACACATACACACTGCTCTTTTTAATCACATTTTATTGTCAGTTACTGAAAATCACTGTTGAAATATTCCAATTATGAACACACACACACACACACACACATATACACATACACACACCGATGATTTGATCACCAACAGCACATTGTTTTGTTAATACGGACAGTTTTAACCTCTCTCATATTGATCAACACCACTAAATAGTGATCTAACCACATAACATTATGTATTACGTACGCATTAAATAAACTTATTTAAAACGTAGTTTATTTATTATGTACAAAAATAAAAGTGATGATCGTTTTAGCCAATCATTTTTGTGTCCGAAAAATGACTACATATACATATCCGTTTTATATTTTGTTCCTCGTTCAGCAGCACAAGTAATAGAGGGCACTATTATCGTTTCTGACTTTTTAACTACAAAGACATTTTACTCAGTAAAAAATGTTGCCTATTGTGACACTAGCTTCACAATATCAGTGGTCTTTGAGTTTAGTTTTTATAGTGTTTAAATTTTTTATTTTTCCAATCCCTATTTTTAACTTCTATTACATCAGTAACTGAGATTTTGCGTCATTTTAGTAGTTAATCAATTGATGACACTTTTTCATCCGAAAAATTGATATGATTACCTAAATGTTGCTACTGATCTCAAATCTGACATTCATTATCCTTGTTAGCTTCAGTTGCGAACGAATTATTTTATTATTTTTATTTATTTATTTATTCATATATACTAACTTTCAAAACTAAGCATAATATTATGACAGACATGTTGTATACATTTGTTAATAATAATTAATTTTTTTTTAGTCAATAGGTTATTAACCTATCTTATTAGTTGTCCTTGAGTGACACATTTATGAATTCAAAATGTTAATGAGTAATTAGTTATATACATGGCTGTTTGTGTAGTTAATTACTAGTCTAAAGCACATGCTACATCTTTTTTTATTGTTCTTTCATAATTTACTTGAGAGATTTTTAATTATACAAGTATTTCATCGTCTTTCTTTTTCATATGTTTATATATATATATGTGTGTGTGTGTGTGTGTGTGTGTGCTGTGCTATATAACTGATATTATATTGAGCCCAGAAGATGTTCAAATGCGGCGTAAAAATAGTATTATGTGTCACAAAATGTTGTTGTTTTTCCTTAATCATAGTATATGCATAAAAAAATAATTTTGTTTTTACGCATTATATTCCCTTCTGTGTAGTCATAATAAATGATTTTTATTCTTAATTGATTATAATCATTTTTTTCTTTGCATCATTGATTTTCCTTATATGCATTTATCATTAACAACAAGCACAATGTCTCTTTTGTTTATACCTTATTTATTTGTTGCTGATTATATTTGTACATACGGGAAGAATCGACGATTGTAATATTATTAAAACATGCGTTCTAAATTATTTCCACACGAATTAGATATTTTCATTCGCAGCATGTATTATTGATAGATGAATGAATAACTAGAGAGAAAGAGAGAAAGAGAGAGATGAAAATATGTGTGTATCTTGTATTAACCAGACATGCTATCAAGAACGATAACGACGATCTTCAAGAAGAGATTAAGTGATTTTTCGTCAAAAGAATTATCTAAAAGATGTATAGAAAAAAGTGATGCAAACAACTTATCAAATGAACAGAATGTTAGATTGGGTGAGATTTCAATACATTTTTCATGTTTAAGTTTGTAGTTCGCTTTGACTCTTAATAAATGTTTATCCATGAAGGAAAAACATTTATTTTTAGTTATTTTTTTCTATTTTCATAATCATAATATAAATAGAATATTGATTAAAACTGCTTGTTGCAAAATTAAAAACAATCAAGATAGATTTTGGTTTTTGATTTATAAAGTATGAATTTCTCATACAGTTTTTATCAGATTTTTTGATATATTTATTCTCTGTCCAGTGTTTTTTAATAGTTTATCTAGATACAAGTCTGTTTATTAACTAATCGTAGTTTGTTAAATATCAAATATCATCTCAACTCCATTCATAAATTTTTTTTCTTAATTTGTCCCATCTCGATTTATTTTCGTATATTGGTATCTATTATGGTTTAAAACGGTGGTCTTACCGGCATTCTGTAGTTGTGAAATATAACATATTGTATTGATATTGTATTATCATACACGATTTCTCCAATTTTATTTATATAGGTAGTTGAGCATCTATTTCTAAACATACGTAGTTAGGACAAATGAGACCTTGACTAGAAGAAGAAAAATATCTATGAGATAAATTGAAAATAAAAATTTCATATGAGATGAATTTTAAAATCAATGATAGACGAATCGAGGCTAAACCGAAACGGTTATGGTTTTTATTTTAAAATATAAACTTTTATTTTACAAATAAAACATTTTATTATTTGAACTTATTAAATTTCGTTTGATGAGTTAGTATTTATATTGTACAAGAATACTGTTCTATATCAAAGCAACATTATTATTATTATTTTCTTTTTTATGTTTTGTTTTTACTCTGAATTAGATTGTTTATAGAAGAAAATGGTTATAGAAGGAAATAAAAAGAAAAGATAGTTTTTTTTAATAGTAGAATATTAAATTACATGTAATGCGAAAAATCGTCTACAATTACACGACTTATAGAGTGATAGGTCGTGGCATAAATATATCTATTATAAACTAACCTTTTGGGGTGTTTTTTTCTAGCGTATGGTAATGATTTTTTTCCTCATGATTGAATTCTAGCGTATCCGTTACTCTGTTTTGTTTTTATTCACACATAGATAGAATAAGGGCAAAAGAGAGAGAGAGAGAGAGAGAGAGAGAGAGAGAGAGAAAGAAAGAAAGAAAGGGAGCAATAAAATAGGAGAGAATCATTTAATTAATAATAACTTTTTATACAACGGTGGTTAATGTAACAAATCATCCAATCTAAACCTTACGGACTTGCCAAAATTCCTCTTCTCTAAAATATTAAGAAAAAATTAATTTAAAGAAAAAGTGTGAGAAGATGATAATCGAGACTTATTTATTAAATATTTGATTTTTTTGTTTGTTTCATTAACTAAACGATGATCATCAATGTTGTAGCTATAGTCAGTCTCTTTTAGAACTGACTAAAGAATAGGAAATGATTTTTAAGAAAGTCCATATTTACTATTTACTTACTTGATATATCAACTATCTTTGTTTATTTGGAAATCAAATCCTATCTTGTCAATGTTTACTCTGTATTGGAAAGTAGAGACAAAATGAAAATTGAAAAATGATAAAAAAAAAGTTTTTCAATTAAGTTGATTGTTGTTAGTTTTTTTTTCTTCTTTTTAGTTAATATTTTCGTTTTTCGTTTTCTTTTTCTTTTCTCTTTGCGTTTATTTTTATTTTTATTTTTATTTTTTGTCGATACTAGTACCATCACTATTTCATATACTTTTTTAGTTCTAAAATACATTAAGAATAGACGAAATTTTATTTCTTTTTCTTCTTCTCCTCTTCTTCTTCTTCTTCATCTACTAATTTACTAGTACTTATCTCTTTGTTTTGATTTCATTGTATTTTACTTTTCTTTTTTCTTTTTTCTTTTTTTGAACAGTTTCTTAAAATATTATTCTAATTTTCTTTCCACTTGAAAATCGTTTTAACATACGTATAAATGCCTTGTAAAGGAGAGGTAAGTAAATAGCTCAAAAAAAGAGCGTCAAATCTTTTTGTTCTCTAATCTATATGAGAAAAAATATGACAATCTTTTGTTAGAGATTGAAAATATAAACCATTGAATAATTAATAGATGAAGAAGGAGAAGAAGAAGAAAAAAAAAGAAGAAAAGTATCCTCCGTGCTTGAAAAATAATTGTTTGTAAAAACAAAATTTCAATTTCTTCATTAGTGAATACTAGTCAGTTCAAGTGTTGTATCATGATGAGGCTTTCACACCCTTAAAAAATACTCTATTACTCTATTAGTTTTGGTTGAGAGATACACCATCTATACGAAATAATACAATGATTTTTTCCTCAATTTTGTGTTTTTTTTTTTTTTCTTCTTTTTTCATAATTTTTTCCTCCCGTCTCCAGTCATATAAAGTGTAGATATATGTCGCATTTATTTTCTTCTAATATTCAACAAAACGACAATCATTCATAACGTGTGACGTGAAAAGTTTTTTTTTTTTTCGTTGAACGAGTTTTTGCAGATATTCGCTTGTAAGAATCGATTTTACTATGACACACGAAACACTCGTTATTGATGTTAAAAAACAACAACAAACACGTACTAATAATTCTTCGGAAAAAGTACATATGGTTTACAGACGACCGGTATGTGAGAACTTGTATTTATTTATTTATTTTTATCAAAAAATATAAAATAGATAGTAAAAAGAAAACTATCTACTTCTCTTTTGAAGATAAAGATGGGAAGCATTTCTTTTCTTCTTTTTTATGTCGACTTTTGTTTCAATTTTTCTGTGTTATCTTGAAGTAAAATACATTTATTGTAGTAGTCTACGTAATTAACTCCTTTTTTTTTTCTTCTTCTTCTTCTTCTATTTTATTTAAATAATGAATGAGTGAGATATTTGATATCACGTGTAGCAGCTGTGTATATGTCTGCAATAGATTAATTGCAAAAAATTAGTTTTTTCAAATAAAAAGAAAAATTAAGAACAAAACATGATTACGATTTCTAGAATTAAAATTTTGATTCTATAAATTCAGCAGTGGTTTACTATTTTTTAAGTCATTTTTATCATTCACTTGACTGTTTTATATAGTTTCTAGAGTACTTGACTGTTTTATTGTATAATAGAGAATTCTAGTACTATCTTTTAAAAAATTTATAATTCTAATTTGAAAAATGTTTTCAATTTGCACATAAACTCACAATTGTTAGTATAAAATATACAAAAATTAGATCTTAAAATAGGCTTATTTTCTTTTATTTTTAGGTTCGAACGTTGTTTGTTAGTGGTCTACCAATGGATGCTAAACCTCGAGAATTGTATCTGCTATTTCGAGCTTATAAAGTAAGTAGTTATATAAATTCAATTAACAAGTAGTTCACTATCTTTATGATAACAAATAATTGGTGGTTATTGTGCCCTATTAATAAAACATCGAATGAGATGTATGATTGAGTTTGAGCGAAACGTCTCCGTCACACCTACATTTCTTGTTAACAAAAATTCTTTACATGTGTGAGCTAAGTGAGTTTTATTATTTGAAATAAGAAAATTTCTTATTATTTGAGCAATCTTCTATCCATTATTATATTTTTGATTGACATAACAGAATAAAGTTGATATTCATTAGAGACATATATGATGTATAGGTGTAGATCGATGTTAACTAATCAAATATAGATAATTTTAAATTGAATAAATAGAATGTACATTCGAATATATTTTTGAATATAATATGACAGAATAAGAGAAATATTGACAAATAAAATTAGTAAATTTATTTTTTCTAAAATTTTTATTAGTAGACAAATGCCATATTATCTTTCAAACAATAGTGGACACGCTTGTTTAGTCTTTCATTTTTTTTGTCATTTATTTAGGGTTATGAAGGATCATTATTAAAAGTAACGAACAAAAATGGGAAAAATTTATCACCCGTAGGGTTTGTCACGTTTGCCACAAGAGCCGATGCAGAAGCAGCTAAGCAAGAGTTGACTGTATGTTTTAGATTATTATTTTCTTTTAGTGAGCATAGTTTTTTTTTTTTTTTAATTTTATTTAGGGTGTTCGATTTGATCCTGATCTTCCAGCAACATTACGATTAGAATTTGCTAAAAGCAATACAAAAGTACAAAAACCGAAACATCCACATACTAATGCATTATCTGCTGCACAACAATTTATACAAATTCCACGTAAGTATCCATTCTCTATCTAACTATAGATTCATGAATTTATTTTTATTTTTTGTTTCTAGAAGACCTTGGTGCTACCTTTTTTCCAACTGAGGCTTGGGGACAACCATTGACTTTTGATCTGGGACCAGCCGGACTTCATCATCCAGCTTTGTTAGGTTTACATGGACCACATATTCCAGTAAGTGAATAAAGTTTCTTATTTTAAATCATTTAATTTAAAGTACGTAAGATTTTCTCAATCTCCGTCCTCTTTAAGCTTTCATGGTAGTCGAATTTATCTACCTGCATAAACATCGTGTGTAAGTAGATAAACATTACACATTAGAGGCATCTACACCCGATATAAATTGCAAAAAAATTGTAGTTATACAGCATATATCATCAGACTTCTGGTTTGACAAACACTACACCATATTCTTCCCTTCACACACATCATAACACGATATGCTCTCGCAATCTTTTTTTTTTTGCCATATAATTTATGTGTAGGTATATGTGCAACTTAGATATTCCTTTTATTAGGCTTTCAACTATTCTTTTATGATTTTAACTCAAATTTTTCAATATCAAAAATACTTTTTCTTTGGTTATTACTAAACTGAAACTCATAACCAGCTGCTGAAGGTGATGGCATGTTACTACTGTCCAAAATTTCCTTTTCAGAAGATATCGTTACGTGTCTATTTATTTTAACAAAAAAAAACACACATCCGTAATGAATTTTTTTAGGTTTAATTCTATTTTGTATCAGTATTTAAATATAGGATAAAATCAGAAAAGATTCCGGTGAAAATGCATAATGGATCTCGTATACAAAAATTTGAATAAGATCAAAGGTGGAGACGACGAGATGAAAGTAAGAAGGTCAACAAAGAAAACCGGAATCTTTCGTGCGTTTTTTTACACAATTTTTTATATACGAGATCCATTCTGGAATTTTTCTGCGATCAAAACTATTACCGTCCTTAAATATATATATAGATATACATATATATACACGTTCTATATGCACTAAAAAATAGATGAAAAATACATCATGGTGACTTAATACACTGTTTCACAGTTTGCACAACAAAATTCATATTAAATATGACATCGCCACAAATTGAGATGAGATCATCACCCGAAAAATCATTTAAATTTTTCGATATATTTTCTACACTTTCCTTACCAATATGTTTACACTTTACTCACTCATGACACCAATTGGTTTTTATCATTTTTTTTTTTCTTCGTTTTAAGCATGTCCTCCTAGTGGATTTTGAATAAAACAAAAATAAACAATGAATTTTGATTGTACTTTTCATCAATTTTCTAGTTTGCATTCTATATATACCACTATAAATTTAAATGGTAATAGCCATCCTGTGTGTTAAACTATAGAAAGAAAATTTTTGACTGCACGGTTCTGCATTCCGATAACTATTGTATTTATAATTATTTTAATTGTTCTTTAATAGGGTCTTGGTCATCCAATGTCAACCGGAATGACACAATTGCAACAGTCAAATCCAACTATGGCTGTGGCAAATGGAAATTTAACAAATGGTACATTGTTTTTAGCGGAATTTCCTAATCATGAATACAAGGGAATTTCGTTTAATATGTAAGTTAAATAATTTAGTACATTTCGAAATTCATGTATAAGACAGCTTTAAATCTGAAACAATTGTCGCATTTTATTTTAGAACTATTGTTTAAGAGCTCATGCATATTTGTCACTTGACCAATCTTAAATTCAGGTGTTTTGAGTACCGGACAGCTATTGAAGTTTTGACCTAAATAATACAATCGACAGTGTATTAAAACGAATAAATGTGAATACAAGATATTCTTTTCTATGAATACAATGCTTCGCTTATAAAATCTATTTCACTCAAAGACTTTTGATAATATTTTTTTAATTTTGTTTGTTTCCAGATAGACATACAACTTTGAAAGGATAATGCTGTTTTTACTTGTCATTCTAGAGAAATAACTTATATGACTTACCCCTTTCTCTATTTTGAAAAAAATTTAGATTTTGAGCTGAATATATCCCAATGTAGAGGATAGTCTGAGCTACGAAATGAGACTATTCTCAGCGTTTCAGGATCTGCCTTGGAAATGTTATCAATTTTTAAGTTTTTCCTTCAAAACCTGAAAAACTAAATTTTTTATAGTTTCATGAACCTTTCTCTTTTTTCCTGTATATTTAAAAAATTTTCCTACACATAGATTTTCTTTCGTTCTATCATCTTTTCTTTTCGAGTTAGAGGAATTTTACGATTGAAAAACCTGGATTCTAAGGTGCTTTTCAGTGGTTTTGCTAGATGAAAGATAAGATGATAGAACGAAAGAAAATCCACACCTGGGCAATGTTGTCTGGTATTTATGACAAAGTTTTGAAGTCAATTGGGTCAAGTTATCGAGGGGTCGTAATGGAACGATATCAACAATTGAGTTTTCTAGAAAACTCGAGACGATGTTCATTTGAGTTTTCAATTAGTCCTGGAATGGAGAATGCTTTGTCATTTTTAGTTTATGATGACAATATTTAACCGGAAAGTCCCAAGAGGGGGAGGGGGAACCTTAAATAGCAGAAAATATGAAGATTTTAGCTTTACGTTTCTTCAAAAACTATTGCTTTAAAACTAATATTTAAATAAATTTGTGTTCGAGTTGATAGAAATTTGTAGTCAAGCATTTGAGCTTTCTGAATATCTAATTAAAATTTCATTTAAACAAAATTTTATATAAAAAACTTTCACAACACTTCGATGACATACACTTTTCGATTTTTATATCCATCGACATTAAAATCGAGTTTTCTTAGTGAGTTTTTGACCGTTACACTTCGGACTGTCGTCAAAAAATAGACAATTGGATGAATGACTTTTTGATAAAAAGATTTTTCTCGAAGTCTTACCAAAGGAAACTGGAAGGTTATGATTTCCAAAAAATTCTTCATTTTTACACAGTTTGCCTACCAATATTTTGAAATTTTTATTTTAAATACAACTGGAGATATGCGTACCCAATTTACTTGAAACTTATACTTCATTTCAACATCATTGAGGTTAGTCATCAATAAAATTTTCAGGTGTTAAAACCGTATTGTTCGGGAGGAAAAAAAATGGAAACTACGGAAAAATGTCCATCAAGATTTTAGTCGAAAATATTATTCACCAACATTAAGATGATCGTAACTCTATATAGACTTGGTCAAATCTCCGTTTATATACCAATCGATTCGTCTTTAGAAGAAACATTGAACTATCAACTTAGTTTTTTGTAAGAACATACGTAGATTCAGTTCGTTAAGTTCTATCGATTGGTATATGACACGATATTTTTCTGTTCTTTTTATAATTGTTTTCGACTAATTAAACTTTAACTAAGATTACTTATCCGATATCTGTTGTTCATATTTGTTTTCTTCTTTATAGGCCCGGAAAAGCACTTTGACAATCAGCGTGTGATCAACATGATATTAATCGTTTAGCTACTACTCTCCATCAGACTGAATCAACCATAATTACTTCACAACAAACATTCGTTCAAAACGATATTAATAATAATAATAATAATAATAATAACATCGTTGTTCGTCCAACAATCTCGCAACAACAATCTGTTTTATCAACTTTAAATACAAATGGCGTAGTTGACTCGTTTGAGAAACAAGATCCATCATCGCATATTCGTATTATTGAAATAAAACGAACGTTAGATGAAAATAGTATTGAACAAGAAAAAAATGCCAATAAAAAGAGTCGACGTTAATCAAACACAGTCCGTATTTCTCTTTACTTTTTCTGTCGTATGTCATATAGTTCAAAATTTTTCCTGTTAATCTTGAGTATATAATTTAAGAATCTTAATAGAAATGGATCTGTTTTTTTTTTTTTGGTTTTTTTTCTCTAAACATCCTTTATCTTTCATAGAAAAATTGGCTGATTTATACTGACTTTCTTAGATATGATATTGAGTTTTGTAATATCATTCGTAACGATCGTTTTCTCACTCAAAAGATCTCTTTTCTTTTTCTAATTTTACTCTTTTCAACAGTGATAATCGATGTTGTAAAAAAAATTGACCGATAATTTCATCTTGTCTGTAGAGTGTTTTTTTTTTTGCTAGCCGGTTAAGTAATGGTATACTAGTACATTTTCAATTAATGTTTTCAAACAAAAATCATGTTGTATCACACATACGTATTAATAATAATTCTTCAGATGATCTGTTTTTCTTTTCTTTTTTTGTTTTTGTTTTTATAATGGACCAAAAATCTCTTCTAGTACGTGTCCTAATATACTGTATAGTTTGTTCTATTTTCTCACCTCTTATTCTTCTATATGTCATGTAATACATTTTTTTTCCATTATGAATGCATGCATAATAACTAATAAACAGTATTTATGCGCGATGGCATTTATTTTCTCTCACTTGTTTAAAATTTGTCTCTAAATCGCAGAGTCTCATCCAGTTTATGCATTTTTCTTTTTTGTCATTTGTTTAAATATATATGACGCTCAAATTTTGGTATTATTATCTTTATAGTATAAGAGCGACTACACTTCTAAAGATAATGTTTTTATTTCTATCAAATAATTTTCGTTTTTTGTCGTTTTGATAAGTGGTCATTTTCACGTTCCGTCCAATATATATAAATATATATAGAGAGAGAGAGTGAGAGTGAGAGTGAGAGAGACAGCTCTGGTGTTCAAATAAACTCGAAAAAGTTATCTTCTGATTTTTTTGTTGAGTTTTTTTTGACCGTCAGGTGTCAGTTTATCGTTTAATTTACACTTCTCTATATTCATTTTTGTATAATAAAGAAAAAAAGCAAATGTTTTTTTGTTCATTATTTTTTGTTTTGTTTTTCTCTTCAATTGTTAATAAACATCAAATAAATTTAAAATTATGCCAGTGAATCATACTTTACGTACTTGTACGTATTACGTAAAATGTTCACCTTCTTCAATTGTTATTATTATTATTATTATTATTATTATTAGACCCTTTATATTGTCATTCGCTAAATATAAAAAATCATTTTTTTTTTATCTTCAAATTTAGCGTCATTGTCTCTATGCTAAAACGTTCTACGACAGTGATCACCTTTTATTAATGAATAACTAAGAAAAAGAGA